CTACTGCCTGCTGCTGCTGCTGCTGCTGCTGCTGCTGCGGCTACTAGTGCTGCCACGACTGCGACTACGACTGCGACTACGCTGAAGGTCCCAAAACGATACCCCAAACGATGCTCAAAAAATCGATCAGGAGTCTGTGTGAGCCACGCGAACTTACATAGCGGCATACATAGCGGCATGAATAGCACATGTGAGGCACTTCAACAGCTCTGTATGTGTCCTATTTTGCCACCCATACTTCGCAACGACCGGGGAAACCCAGAAACGATACCCTTGTCTAGTGACCGCTTTTGGGAACAGCTTGAGTATCAGCGTGTGTCCTCAAATTCGGCAAATTCTCTACTTCCCCACACACTGCGGTGCTGCTGCATACAGATGACACATGTAACGTCGAAGGTGGAAACCAACAATTAAACGTGAGACCAACAACAGTGATTCAGGAACATCGTCAGCCTCTGCATCCACTGAAGCCGGGGAGGATACTATGGCTGCTCTGGGGACGTCGGCCTGCCGTTGCCATCGGATAAGCGACGCGCAGGTATGATGATTTCTACGGTTGGCAACTGCTCCAGCATCCACCGGCAAATAACCCTGCACAGGTTGAAGTCTTGCTGGCCGACCTGCCTCCAGCAGCTTTGCGACCGCCTCCTCAACCTCTCGGACCTGCCTGCATTGCAGGACATGCTTTAGGCCTCCGAGCTTTCTCACTGCATTGTCAGTGCAGCTGCCAGTGAGGGATGCACAGAAGCACCCGGTACGAGTACGGGCCTCGTCTGCAGGACGTGAACCTGGCTGCCGAACACCTGAGCATGCAAAACATCCATCTTGCCGGCTCCAGACCTGCCGAGCTAATGTCGGCCTCGAAAAGCTGCCATGCTGCATTCGGCACACCATCTTCTGCTCTAAGGTCCAAGCTCGCAGCAGGCGCAACGTCCTCATGCAAAACAAGTCTGAGAGGCGAGTGCATGAGCTCTGTCCTCTGCAGTACACCATGACCATTAATGTCATTGGCATTGTGTTGATTGCGAAGACTAGGACACTTTGTTACGTGTCTCTGCTGCTGTGAATGACTTCTAAAGATTCTTCTGGAATACTACAAGTCTTACTGTGATTCGTTTGAATTGGAAGGAGCTTTGAGTCCTGAGAGCTGGCTCTCTGTGATGGGGGCACATGCGGCTGCAGCGATCTGCTCCGTTCAGCGCCGGGTGGAGGAACTGCCTCGACTCGGGTTTAGGGTTGAGGGTGCAGCATTGAAAACTATTCAGTATTGGGAAGAGCATGGTGCATGAAGGGTTCTTAGCGGATCCAGGAAGATCGTCTTCAAGTAGCAACACAACGTCGCAGCAACGCTTGGCGCTCGATGACGACTGCTTAGAGAAGCTGCTACCGACGCCACGGCTTCTCGGGCAAAAAAGAATTACGCATGCGGCCCATCCAAACCGATTACCAGCACAGTGCGGTGTCGTTACGACTCCATGAATGCAACAACCCACGAAGCCTATGAGGAGGCGCCACAGATCTGTTTCAACCCAGCCAATTCCAACACTGAATGGGCCGGGCTGCGAAAACTCGACCTCCGGTGGCGTGTCGCCTTGCTGAACACCAACTTCCAAAAATTGTAACACGACACATGAGAGTTTGGGAAAATCGAGGACCCAAAGATCGATCACAATGAGTACGATCTTGGTTTTAATAACGGGAACCAAAAGGGCCGATGCTCGCAAGCAACCTAGATACAGGCTCACGGATGACGGTGGGCCAACAGCACTCACAACACGGGAAACATGAATGCATTCTCAAAGAACAGGAACAACTGAAGAACCAGAAACAGAGGATCGCACAATGCTGCAGCCGAGAGTCCCCATGAGATGATCAGCTTCCTGTCTCCAAAAAGGCTTTTCTGTGCAAAAAGCACTCATGCAGAATGCTTGCACTGAATTCTGTAAGCTGCGAGTCTATGTCCCATCCGGGTTTCTGGAAGCCACATACTTCACCATTCATGCCGTCAACCTCTAAACAGCGAGAGCGCCTCCAGTGCATCAGCGCAGTGTAAGCAGCCTGACGGCGCTCACTCCTAGGGCATGCGCCAGGCCTCGACTGTCACGATTCAAACTACATCAGCTACATTTTTCGGCACTTCATGAAGCCCGAAATCAAACTCTGCTGTTCTGATCCCCGGGCCTTGTACTTCTTGGGGACCTTCTGCGGGATGAGGTCTTTCAGGCCTATGGAAGCAGACACAAGCACTTCAGGAACCCGGCGCGGACGCTGGTAGCAAGACACGGCTGCAGGTGAAACCATCGCGACTTGCGATCATCTGCGATCTCTTGGGCATCTTTCGCACCTTAGGAATTCCGAGACCCAGGCACTGCTCCACTGTGGGACGAATGCTCGGATCAAGCAGGATGGCGCGGGCGAACATGAGAGCAGCATCCAGGTAGTACCTCAGAGAGAAGGAACTAAAGGAACACATTCTTGATAACTCGGACCATGCGCCACTACTAGCAGTCCTCCTCCTTCCCCTCCTCCTCTTCCTCCTCTCTTCTGCTACCCCTCTGCTTTACTATACCGGCCACGTGCCACTCCCGTACGATGCGTGTCAGGGAAAATCAAGAATGAAGACGTTCACTTGCCGGCTGTGGGTCTGGTGTTGGCGCATGCTCTGGAGCGAGGGGAGCTTGCAGACACTCGACATGTCAAGACGCAGGGCATGGCCAAATGTGCCGACCAGTCAGAGACCTTGGGAGCCTTCGAGAAAATGTCGACCAGGTTCGCGGCAGGCTGCAGCGGCGAAGCTTTCATGTGTCTCCAGGCGTCTCCGAAAGCTTTGTAGACTCCCAGTCTCCGAGGGATAAACACGTGCAAACCTTTGCTTTCCCACACAGAACTCACGCTACTAGTACCGTTCACTATCATCACCACAACTATCGCCACCGCCGCCATCACCATCGAGTCACCACAGAGGGGGACGACGACCCACCGAACCACTGAGACTGACCATTGGACTATTGCTGCTCAGCGGCTCTCCCTCGCCTCTCATGTCGAGGATCACAGCGACGCGGGCAGAGATATTCCCTCCCAGCATACTCCAGTCCAGCTGTTTAGGAAATGCCCCAACGATTTGTGCCCTCTTTCCTTCGCACCATTCGTCACTGGAGTCTTCGCTTAGTACGATTCTTGCCTCTCGGATGAATGCCGAGTGTTATGCCTTAGAGAAGCTACGTATGCGAGCAGAGGATTCCCAGCCCTCGGCTGTTGGAGCTAGTCCGGTCAGGGTTTCTCGCGATGCCGCTACCGGATCAGTGCTAGCTGCTAGCTTGGCTTCAGCTGCTCGGGGGTGTCTCCAATCCGCTTCTCATGAAAAGCCCGAGAATGCAGCGACCTGCCGCCAGCCAAGCCGTGGCATCTGACCTTGTCATGGTACGCTCGGCCGTGCTGCTTCGTTCCTTAAGGTTCTTTAGTGGCGGTTTGCGAATGCCTCAGCGCCGCAGCCTGTTATCTTATCTGGGAAGGAAAGAAGCTTTTCCTATCGCTATAGCTAGGGTCAGAAGCGATGCCAGAGCCTCTCATCAGACAAAGGTCGGCAAAAAGTGACTGCCAAGCAACGCTCCGAATTGGAGCATGGCCATAACTTGGTTCTGCACCTGGGGGAAGACTTTGCCGGGTGTACGCAAGTCGCATGCATCATGTCTGCATCTGTCTGTCGGAATGTGCCTCCCACATCTTCATGTACGGATCCTTCCACGGCACTGTTTCAGTTCACAAGGTTCACAAGGACAACAACGACTACTAACTTCCGAAACAGGTGCGAATGCACACCACCGACTGATCAGGCTGCCGTAAGAGGGCCAAGTCAAACGAAAACGGCATTGGCATTGACTGCCCTTGCGTATGAAGACCACCTTGGCCTTGACCCGGCCATACCCGGCCGGGAATGCCGACCTGCAGTCCTGAGCGGTCCTTCAGCTTCTCGGCCAAGTCCAGCGCGGCCTTGGCATGCGCGGCGTAGCTCGCCACTGCTGCAGGCCGTGCTGCGGGTGCCTCTGAGCAGGGCGAGGCGAGTAAACGGGTGAGGATGTGAGAGTCCGTGGGGCAGGCCCCTTTTGTGCGCCTCAGGCTTGGCGACTCGCTCCCACCCATCGAGGGGGCTCTCGCTCCCCTGTCGCATGCAGAGCAGGGCGAAGACGGATGGTTTGCGAATGTTTCCGAGAGCACGAGAACGGAAAGCCCGCCTTGTGCTTCCCAGACAACTTCCTGCGTTTCTTTGGCAGGTGGCAGTTCGTTGGGAACACGACGCGAGTGCCCTTCCCGATGTGCGGCGGGACCTGTGCTTCGGCAAGCTGCCCCACTGCAATCAGGTGGTTAAAAATCTTCTCTCAGGTTGAAGAATGCGTTTACGAACTCGCTCCTTGTGAATGGCAAAAGAGGGAAAGATCAGGACGTCGCCCTCCTCTGCATAGAAGGCCGCAGGCCGGTGGAACCTCAGTCGGAGAATCCGACGAGAAACGTGTCACCTGGACGGTGTGGCCTTGAATGTCGCATAAGACACAAGAACATTGATCCTGTCTTGGCTTCTACACGCCAGAAGGCACAGGTGCTACAATATCCAAACAGACGAATTCCTACGAGCAGGCTGCACGTCCCATTCTTGCCCAAGCCACGGAGGCTCGCTGTCCACACCCATGTCACCTCGGTCCTGCAGCAGCATAGGTATTCACAGCTACAAGGTCATTGCTTCTGTGTGATTTCAGCTCCACGGTGAAAGCCAAAAATAGTGGCCCACATGGCCGTTCCTAAACGGACTCGAGAGGGACTTCTCTGACAACACATTGCTGACCTGGAACCACTCGAAATCTTCGATCGGCGGAGCACCCCGCGGGTCGGAGATTGTCAAAGGTGTCGTTGGTTCAGGCATTTTCACGTAGAGGACAAAGCCTCAGCAGCAAGTGCAATGGTCACCATGTCGCGCTTTCGCATGAAATAAAGGGCATGCAGAAAACTGCAAGCAGCCAAGCTCTGTGCGAGTCAATGCTTCGCAGAATGATTCTCCCACTGATGCAGGGTGGAACAGGGAAAAAGCTCTTCAACCAAGACACTCACGATAGACTCCTGCCGCAATTGCAACTCACTACTGCCTGTGATGCAGCAAGCAAAGCATATACCAAGTCCTATTGGCACAATCGACACGACAATTGCCAATTGCAACCTGATGAGAGCTCCTAGGGAGGAACCCGTTAATTAGACGGTAGATCTCCGGAGATGCTCCTGGTGGGCATGGTAGTAATGCGTGACTGGGTCCTTCGGCTTCATCCTTGGGACAGAGCACGTCTGATCGCGATCTTCGCAACGAGATTCTCGAAGACGGCTACAACATCATGCAAGGTACGGCTAGCTCTCTTGAAATAACGGCAGAAGGGTTTTAGGATCAGTTGCGCTTGTGTCTGCGAAGCACCTGCTGTGCCACACCCTCGTGCGTCTCCCACGTGTTCCACCCCAGCAGACAGCATGTCTGAGAGCGGTATTCCAGCGAGTCATGCCGAGTTCTACCACTAACAATGGCCGCCCTAAGGGGTTTGTACCCAAGCCGCTCTCTCACGGCCACAGATGTATAAGCTCAGGAAGCGATCTCGCAAGGCTAGTCCGATCCGAGGATCGTAGGATACACCGCTGCCCATGTGACCACCTCCATTTCTTCCCTTTCCTCCTGGCCGAGGCTGGGGCTCAGGTCATCTCAGACAGCTCTGAAGCATGCGGTCATCGTTTTCCGTGAAACTTTGAACCAAGGACAACCAAGTGCCTGGTGCTGCAACCTGCCTTGGTCAACGGCACGCCCATCTTGTCCAGGAAGGACATGCAAATCTCGATGCTCGTTTCCGCCCACTCTTTGTATTCCTGGTTCGTGCTCTCTAGCCGACGCCATGGAAGGGTCCGGAGGCAGCGCGATGGTGAACAAAACACACCCCATCCAAAGTGTCCGGGTATGTAACGAGGCACCAAGGATCTACAGATGGGATCGACCCAGTTCTCGTGCACTCCGATTCAACTCCAAGCAGCCCGGCTCTTGTAAAGCTCTGGCCAGGAATCAGGCGACTCCATAGCTGCGAAGGGATTTGTGTCCTGAGGCTGCCCGTACTGTTTTGCAAAGGCTGCGCACCAACTGGTCCATGTGGACAAGTGTGTCAGGATTGTCAGGGGGTTGGCATCGGATTTCTGACTCCGACTTCGCAGCTTGAAGTCTCAGGCTCAACACTCTAGCGATGCCCACCTGGTGCTGGAAGAAATGATTGTTCACGTTGACGAAAGCCTCCCGGTTTTCCTGCTGGACCTGCAGGAATGCAGGACCTCCTTCGCATGCAGAGCAGACTTTCGCAAGCGAACTTTCGTATGAGCGACATTGGGATTGGATCTATCACAAGCTTCGCATGCGATTGGGATTGCGAGGCTGGATCCGCACAGCCATTTCTGGCGGATCCGAGCTTCTTACAGAACCAGCCGCAGGGCAGCGGCCTCGGCAAACTTCTTCATGGCCAATGTGCCGAAGCGGTGCAGCGTCTTCCTCAAGTCCACACTTCCCAGAAGGCTTCTGGGCATGATGCTTCTCTCCCACGTCGGATCCAAATTCTTCCCATCAATCGCAACCACTTTTACTCTACCGGACTCTACCGTCTGGGTGTTCAAAAGTCGACATGCTCCAAAGGATTCAGAGAATCAGCAGATGCCGCAGCCGCAAAGACTGGACTGTCAAGCTTCTAGAATCTATCAGCGTGCATGTCTCTTGGAGCACTGTGTGTCATGGTCACCTGACTCCTGACGATTGAAGAACATCACTCAAGTCTTGTATCCCTTTACCGCCTGTTACGAGCATCCGCGATTGGCTATTGTATCCGTCCAGTGCACTGACATTTGATTACGTCCTGGAATGCGTCTTTAAATTCGAGTTTCCTCTTGTTAACCCTTCTTGTATTCTTGCCTCGCTGTGCGCAAAGATAAGCCAAGACCATCATCTCTTGTCGAAATATGTTTTGGTTGACCGCGTGTTGCTTTGCTTCAGCGCTTTGATTTGGTCTTCTGTGATCCTGATTCCAAAGCGATACGCAGAAACAAATGCTGCTCTGCTATGCTGAATGTTACTCTTCAGCGTTGGCCACCGACTGAGACTGTTCTGATTTGCAGGTACATAATTACTTAGTTCTACCCTTAGATCATTCCACCACTCGGTTCTTGCAGCAGATATTACTACCTCTTTACACAAAAATATCACGATGCCAATGCAGCATGCCATATATCGCGGCATAATCTTGGCTTGCGACTGCACACATTCCACGGCTATTGCTTGTACTTCTTTTCCACTAAATGCTACATAAGTACATTGGTGCGACCCTGTAGGTATTGTAGGAGTAGGTACCAGTAGCGGAAGCGATTGTGGTTGTTGCAGTGCCAAGCAGAGGTACAGGCAGAAGCAGGAGGAGCAGTGCCTGCGGCGAGCAGCAGCAGCAGCAGCAGGAGTCGTAGTAGTAGTAGTAGTAGTAGTAGTAGTAGCAGTAGTAGTAGTAGTACTACTACTACTACTACTACTACTACTATTACTAATAGTAATAGTAGTAGTAGTAGTAGTAGTAGTAGCAACAGCAGCAGTAGTAGTAGTAGTCGTCGTCGTCGCAGTGGTAGCAGCAGAAGCGGCAGGAGTGGTAGTGGCAGTCGTCGTCCTCGTCGTTCTAGTAGTCGTAGCCGTAGTCGTAGCCCCGGTGCTGGTCGCAGTTGTAGTCGTAGTCGCAAGTGCTGTCGTGGTCGTCGTAGTAGTATGCTAGTCCTAGTGGCAGTTGTAGTGCAGCCGTAGTGGTGGTGGAAGTGCTAGTGGTAGCGTTAGTGGAGTGGTCGTGGTAGTGGTAGTGGTAGTGGCGGCGGTAGTCGTCGTGGTGGTGGTGGTGGTGGTGGTGGTGGTGGTGGTGGTGGTGGTGGTGGCAGCACTAGTAGTAGT